GAGACTCCAACAAGTTAAATTACATACAGTTACCTAAAAAATTAAAAATTAAAAAGACATAGAATCGAGATTACACTATTACAGCGGAAAAAAGGTCGAAAGCCTACAGACAAAAAACAAATCCAAACTAATTAGGATTGGAAAAAAAAATAAAAAACAAAAACAAACCACCTTTGCTTTGATCTCTTCCTGCTTCTGCCACTAACTCTGTTCAGTCATTTTTCCATCCACAGACCCTAGAACAATAATGGAGAAAGAAAGATATAAAAGAAAACCCTGTATTTGGGAAAAAAAAATAAAACAATTGAAGGTAGGGAAAGTGGACTTGGTCTGCTGAAAGGACCATTTCTAACTTCTTCTCCATCTCCTTTCTAACCCCTCCATGATTTCCAAAGTCTAGGGCAGGCTATGACCTTGACGTTTTCTCCTTGATTAATATCAATTAAAACTAGTGTTCAAGCAAATGGAATTATTATTCTGGGTTGGTCGACTAGGAAAGCTACAGCATAATCAGTTTCTATCAAGCAATTATATATAAATAATGGTTATGAGAAAATTAAACTCAGATACTGCCATCTTGAGCAATGGTTTGCTTCCACGTACCTCTTTATTGAATTGAATCGAGAAGCTTGGGGAATTTTTTTTTTATCAGCAAGAAGCTTGTGGAGTTATTTTAATCGTATGCTTAATTATCATTGATTAATCAGTTTAAGGTGTGTTTGATTGGGAAAACTTTGCTTCCAAACTTTCTCATTACTATTATTAATATTTATCCATTTTCACACTTTAAAACTATAAAAAAAAAAAAAAAAAAAAGGTAAAAGAAACATTTTACTATTTATTGTTTTTTATACAATTTTTGACCACTAAATTTCTTTTTATATACCTTTAAAAGGAAAAAAATTTCTCACCTCTCTCTTTGTAAAAATCGACTTCATAATTTTTCTATCAATTTTTTTTATAACAATTTCTTATCAAACTTGAAAAAATTAAAAACTCAATAAAATTTTTAATAAATTTACACTAAAAACTTATTAACCTTTTATTGAATACTTTTTCAATCATTTTTTTAATAAAAATTTATTCAATAAAATTAGACATTAACCAACAAACCTTAAGGTTAGTTTTTAAAGAAGCCAATAATTCAGCATCTAAAATATCTTATGAAAATTAAATTTTTGAATTTTGATGTTGAAAACAAATGACATGACTCCATGCGAACTTTTCCTTTGCGGCCAAGAAATCTAAAAAGTGAAATGGGAGCCTTCATTCATTTTACTTCTTGCTACAAAAGCAAACTTAAAATCACATTAGGAGAAAATTTTATTTAAAAATTTATACCATTTAAATTATATTAGATTATATAACATAAGTTATTAATTATGAGAGTCTTCTATATACAAGGGTAGACTCCCTTCATAAAAATTTACTTTGTAAACTTGAATTTAGTCGGGTTATAACATGGTTGGCATTTTTCCCTGCTAGCTTTATATATCAAAAACCATCAATTACCTACTAGCTTGATTGTAAATTCCTTCCTTTTAAAACAAGAGATCGTCCTCATCAATTAAGTCTCTCCTTGTATTAGAAAAGAAAAAGTGGTTAGGCATCTTTACATTGAGAAATATCTAGCAAGCACTTTTGCAAGGACTTTGATGTATTGATAAAAGTTCTTTGGCTAAACTCTGAACTCTACCATAAAAAAAATTCTCTAAACTCCTCGTCAAAATTTCCCTAATAAAAAGGGAAGCAAAAAGCAAAATTGCATCTTCCCATCTCTTGGGTCGAGCTGAGTTGGAAAAGTACTCATACATGGAGCAATTTGTGTACTTTAAAGCTTTTGTGCAATCAGCGGCGCTAATTCTGTGTTCTAACCTGCTATTAAGTAATGGTTTAGTTACTCTGTCCTGACTATAAAATTGTCGTCCCTTTGGTTTTAATATGAACAGATTATAACCCCCACTCCCCCAAATTAGTTTAATCCACCAATTATAGTTACTAATCAGGGAATGCAATTTCTTTGAAAGTTCAGTTGGGATAGAGAATAGTAAACTAAGTTTTGTTCGTATTTTGGTGGGGTTGATAGCAGTGATTTCTACAGCCTCCTAATGCTACAGAAGAGGATCTTCCCATTATTCTAAACCATATAAAGTTGCATTGATACCGAGAAGGCGGGAGTATTCACAGCCACGTACCCCACAAATGATTAGTGAATGAATTATTACTCTTTGAGCCTGGAAGGGGTGGGCTGTGTGTGTTTTGCTTGCCAACTAAGAGGGCATTAGGTAGTGTTTTGGATTCTTGGGCAACCTTTGTAGACTCAAAAGCAGCAATTAGCTTGTCCTCTTTCAGTTCTGGTAGCCCACTGATAATTTTCCCATGGCATTCATTATTAAACTCACGTAATATATTTATCATGTTTATTTAGAGTTTAAAAAGTTTTAAATTTGAATCTATGATTGGTGCTGAAATGAAAAGTCCCTATCACTAAGAAGCAATCATAGAGGGATTCCATCAAAGACTAAATTGAGTGCTTCCAAACTAAAGTACACTCTTTAACCACATCATAATCAATGTTTGTCGCTGAAAAGATTGAGTCACTCACTCTTCTACAACTTTTCCAAATTGAAACGGCATTTTTGGTTTGCTGGACCAATGGGGGATGGACAAGCATTGTTTCAAACCATGAAACGAAACTTAAGATTGATAGGGTTCTCATAAGTGTTCATTTTGTTTTAAATTGCAGTAAGCTGGTGCATAACTTGGGATACAATCACACAATACTCGGGGATGTTTGGTTGGGGGGAAAACCTCCCCCTAAAGTTTTTAAACTTTTTCCCTTATTATTTACATATTTTTATACATTAATATTATAACAAAAAAAGTAAAAGTAATATTTTTAATCTTTATTTTTCTTAACATAATTCTCAATTTGTAAACTCTTTTTTTTTTTACGCTTTTTTAAGAAAAGAGTTTCCTTCCAACTTTTCTTCTATAAGACCAACTTAACAATTTTCCTATTAACTCTCCCTAAACCAATTTCTTACCAAATATAAAAAGGTTTACAACCCAACAAAATTCTAATAAGACTTCACTACAAAACTTACTGACTTTCCATCCATTTCTAACCCAACACACCCTTAGAATTTGGTTTAACATCACAAATTAACATCACAAATCACAATCATCAATGTGTAACCCTACCACAAACACATAAAAAACTGGTATATGCGGGTCTAATTCATCATCTCCTATTCTCCTTACTAGATTAAAATGATTTTTGTAGCAAAAAACCAAAACTTCCAAGTTGTCAATGCATAATACATATGATTTGAAAGTGTCATCTGTGCTTTTGAAACATAACATGTGTCACCACCGCCAAATCACCCATGTCCATTTGTTGCTCTTCCACCATTTTTTGTTCAAAACAGATATGGTTTGATAGCATAAAGATGATGCAGCTGATGAGGGATGATTTCTCCGAATAGTTTAGAATTATTGGTAAGAAAATGAAATAAATTAACCTCGACAAAAAATAGATTTTTACAGGATTAGATGTCTTAACGAACGTTGAGTTTTGCTACCAGTGGTTTCTTTAGATGATCCATCATCCTTGGTTTTGCTATATGTGGTCTCTTTAGATACGTTGTCTTCTTGAAACCCTTACACAAACCTACCAAAATTGGTTGGCTCACTTGACTTAAACCGGCAATCTCCTAATACCCGAACCAAGTCATCTTGATGTAATACCTCCTTCTCAAGCAACAGGTCTGCAACCTGAGCCACTTGATCCTTAAGCTTCTCTATCAGCTGTAATGTGTAATTGTACACCTTTGCCACCGACTATCGAACGTCATTGTCAATGATGGCAGCAGTCTTGCTGCTGTAGGGCTTACTCATCTCAAATCTACCACCTCCGGAAAGAGAGAAGGCCAACCTTGTCACCAAAACTACATACTGCCACCTGGGTGCAGGTCATCTCAGTCACCTTCTCCAAGTAATTTTGGGCTCCATTTGAAATCTTCCCAAACAAAACCTTGTTACCAGAAAGTCAAAATAGTTCAAAAAGTAAACAAATTAAAAATATCAAATTGATGCACGGTCTATGTTTTTAGGCAAATCCAACACTGCAGAGATGTAACACATATTACGTGCAGTCATTTACTCACTAGTCCCTACAAATACAAGAAGACCACTCGAAGGGGAATATCACCATTAGTTATCTTAAATGAACCATAAAGAGGGAGGGAAAATTAAGGGAGAGAGGAGGAAGGGGAGGAAAGATGTCTAACAAGGAGCTCAGAAATTTCACCTGCTCAGCAGCATGACCACCCAGTGCCTTGCAAGTCATATCAGAAAACTGCTACAAATAATTGAAAATTCAATTAATGGCAAAAGGTCATTAGAAGATTTTCATTGGGAACACATTGAGCAAACACCAATGTTGCTGTACCACGAGGAACAATGGTTACTTCAGCAGGGGATCTGGATGTTCCAAGAACCAAGCAGCAACAGCATGTCCTGATTCATGGTAAGCAACGGTTCACTTTTCCAACTTGCTTATAACCTGCATGCCAGAAGAAAAAGGCTTTGACATTCACATTTTCCTATAACTCAGTTACAGAAAAGATTTGAAAATTCAGACAATCCAGAGATGAAAATGAACCCATCACACTGATGGCATCAAGCGGTGAAAAAGTTATGATATGCTGAACTACACTAATTAGGTACAATATGAAAGGGCAACACACCTTATTCTTCTTTCCAAGCCACCTATTACCCGGTCAATTGCTGCCTCAAAATGTTCTATAGTGATGTGTGCACTCGCATTTCTTGCAGCAATCAATACTGCTTCATTGCAAACATTTGCAATTTCAGCTCCTACAAAACCAGGAATTAAAGCAGCAAGTTGCTGAGAGTAGTAGGATGGCTCTTTATCAAGTTTTAATTTCTTCAAATAGATTTGAAAGATATGGTCACAACCCTTGATGTCAGGTGCATCACCTGTGATCAGGTGATCAAACCTACTAGGCTTCAACAGGGCTTTGTCTAAAATATCAGGCTGACTTGCACTAGCAAGCACAACCACCCCGGAAGTTGTTCCAAACCCATCCATTTCTACAAGCAACTGATTAAGAGTACTCTCACGCTCATCACTGCCACCTGGAAAGCATCCATGGCCTCTTGCCCAACCAATTGCATCTATCTCATCAATAAATATAGTACCAAGAGAACACTGTCTTGCCTCTTGAAATAAGCTTCTGACTCTTGGGGTACCAACCCCAACAAAGATTTCCATAAAATCTGAACCACTCATTGATAGGAATGGCACATCTGACTCACCAGCAGTTGCTTTGGCGAGAAGTGTCTTCCCTGTACCAGCCTGCCGGGGGGGCCTACAAGAAGTGCACCTTTAGGAATTTTCACTCGTAACTCCTCATATTTCTTTGGGTTCTTTAGAAAGTGAACAAACTCCATGATTTCTTGTTTTGCCACATCAGAGCTAGCTACATATTTAAAGAACACCTGAGATGGTAATAAAAAGTCAAAGAGATGAAACACATTCAACTATTTTGAGATCAAACTACATCTTTCTTGCTTTCCCTCACACTCATCATGAGGATCTATCTCTAATGCTTGCTGGGCTTGCTCCAGCTTCTCCTCTAAAGATTCAACACTTCCTATGCTAAAGAAATACTTAATACTGGCTCACATTTTTCTTGCAGGGGCACCGGCATTAGAACCTTGTACAACATCATCAGTGTCTTTATTTGCAATCTGTGAAGCTTCTCCCAAACACTTTTGCAATTGATTTATTTGTAACAACAATTCGATCAACCAAACCAGGTTTGAGGATTTTGTTTTTGAACTCTTGGAAACTAATCTGAAGAATAAAGCAAAGTAGCTTAAAGGAGAAGATAAAATAAAACGATAAGGTAAAGAATTTGAAACCAAAAATATGTAATAGCAGAAAATTTAAAAGAAACTTAAGCACAGTCTACGACACACAATTTCTTAATTTTACCAAATAATTGTAACCTTTTCAATAGTATTGTCATGTTTTCCACAGCACAAACTGTTGACTTTGACAGTAATTTGCAAAAGACTCCAGTCTCCACCAAATTAAAATGTTTTCTCTAATTTTGCAGATTCCACATTGTCCAACAAAAATTAAATCATGGACAGAGAAGATTGTTAGAGTAAGTTTAGTATAGAAATGTTCCCTTTTTGTGTGTCAGCAAGGAGAAAAAAAATGTCAGTATATCTTATAAGCTAGAGTAGCACAGTAAGGTGAACATCCAGAGCCATCAAAATACAACTGAAATTCAAGAAGGCCACAGGAAAAATCACTCTATTCCAATGGAAATAGAACAATGGACAGGACAAAATACATACCCAATAGCTGCCCATCTCATAAGTCCTACTCCAAACACATTAATAAATTCTCAAGCAATCATTGCAAGATTCAAGTGGGCAAAAAGAAAATAATTACACTCAATAGGTTACCTTTGGACTGGGATTTCCCTTTATTTGCTTTTGGGAATTTCAGTCTTGTTCTTTGGACGGTAATTCTCACACACTACATCAAGGCATTCAAAGTAATAAGCAAAAGTTCTTTCCTTTTTGACGTAAAAAAAAGGGTTAGTGAGCTTTCTAAACAGAAAATAACAAAGATGAAACATCAACTGACTACTCTTCTTGGGTGCTCCACCGCAGAAAAAACGCCGAACCGTAGGGTTTGCGAGGATCAAATCCAAATTCGACAATCGTGCACTTAACCCTCCATGGCCAGGCGAAATGCAGGCATTGCTCTGAGCAGCGGATAAAAGCGATTCCTGCGGTGACACAGTGAGGAGTGTGAATCGGCACGGGTGACTCCGGAGCGAGAAGCGTACAGAGCCGGAAAAGACGCAGGCGAGCTTGGAGAAACTCGTGGCGG